ATACAGGAAGTATACCTGACACCACAGTATCGGTGTTCTGTATGTCACCGGGCACTAAGGCGAACACTCGACCTTGTCTTAGAGGTTCTTTCCCAGTATTAGCCTTTGCATTTGTTTTGACTGTAGAAGCGGACCCAGCTGAACTCACTATAGGACGGCTAGTATTCTTAGACCCAAGTGGGTAATCTTTCACTACATGACCTGTCTTGCCATAACGGAAACAAGCACCGGATGCTCGGTAGCACACACCCCTATGCCTTCTTCCACAATCAGAACAAACCGGAATAGACCCACTGCTCTGACTCAAGCTGCTTGTAGTCCTCGTATTTTGCTTCTTACTTACATGAGACCGGCCTCTTCTAAAACTATACCCAGACCTTTTTCCTTTCCAATCAGTTGTTGTAGCTGCTAGGGCTTTACTTTGTTTCATAGCGGCTATGGTGGCTTCCGCCATTAAGGATCTGTCTAAAATTTCCATATAAGTAGGCAATTTCAATACGCCTACCCGACCAAACACTTCTAAATCCAGTCTGCCTTCAAATTTCCGCGGTTTCTTGTAATCAGTATCCACCATATGTGGTGCAAACCGTGCTAGTTCTGTGAATTTGGCTTCATACTCAGCTACAGACATTCTTCCCTGTTTAAGTTCTTGAAACTCTGACACTTTCCGATCCCTGAAACATTGGGGAAAATATTTATCATAGAAGATTGCATTAAACTGTGCCCAAGTCATATTCCCATTATTGCTTCGAATTAGTAACCACCACCTTTGGGCTTCATCTTTCAGAGTATAGGTGGCTAGGAGGACTTTCTGGACTTCAGAATAAGGAAACACTTCAAATAGCTTTTCCATTTCAAGTAACCACGTCTCTGCTTTCAACGGTTCAATTCCACCAAGCAATGTCGGTGGTTTCATCTTCATGAATTTCTGTGTCAAGTTGATGATGTCATTATTATCTACTTCGGCTTGTGCCGGCGGAGGTAGAGGGGGCAAAGGCAGTTGTCTTTGCTGTTGTGTCATAGCTTCAATCAGCGCTGCAAGCATTTGTTCCATTCGGCTCATGAGAGCCTCTGAAGATTCACTTACATCATTTTCCCTTGCATTCTCCATGTTGCTATAGAGACATTAAATGATAATAAACATAGGAATAATCTTATTCGTTTCTTTCAATTCATTTGCTCAAATTTACATTCAATTTTCATATCCATTTGGATTAGCACACACTCACACATGTAGATGGAATGCCCCTAATTCTTACTAGGACATCCTAAGCTCATCTGGACCAGTGTGTGCGGTAGATCACGTGCTCTGATACCACTCTATCACGACCCAAACCCGCCCCTGTAGGTTTAGCATCGTAACCGGCCAGTAATCCCTAGATTACCAAAGGCCTCTTGACAGATTAGCATATAATAAGGGACTGAGGAAGCAAATATACAAAATATAAATGGTCCAATGAGCTGTGACGACAAACATAGGACAGAATAAGTTAAAGCTTGTATGAACATAAGAGTGACGACCAAAAGATGCAGAATTTACATATCCCTCCCATAAGGGTAATATAGGAAAAACAACCCAACTTAACAAAACAAACAGAGTTTAATATGATTACAAAACAGCCACAAAACAAGACTTCGCCTGGAACCTCCTTGGGAGGCGCAAAGGTTGGCTAACAAAAACTGAATGTAGGCCGCCATCTGTGGCCCTGGTCACGTGTTTGCTCACCTACATATTTCTAAAAATTATATATTTGAAACAGAATTGCATGTGTTTTTGTTTTCTACATTTTCATTTTCATGTTTTCAAAAACAAGACCAATGAAATGTTCATAAACTCTCATTGTTTTTATATCATTTTCATTTCTTGTGCGTAAATAGTATTTTGAAATTTTGAAGACAACTTTTTTGGTATTTCCTTTCAAAAACAATTCACCCAACTAGTTTTATATCTTTTTCAATGGTTGACAGACCTATATCTCTTTCACTCATTGAAGAATATTTGTAATTTCTTATCTACTTTTTCATCTCTCGGCGTTAAGGTAAAGATTCCATGTTTAGTCTTTTTCTTTAGATATGAAATAATGAAATCTTTTACTTTCTATGCTGCATCCCAGCCTCACTTCAAAGATTACAAAACCAAAACCAAATTTTGTATTCCCTCGCACGCGCGCACACACACACAAAAAGAAGAAGAAGAAGTATTTTGTGCACAAATTACACATCTTTTATCCTCTTTTCAACCATCACTTATGTGATTATTCATCGTGCAAGTAGTGACAATGGCAAAATTCCAAGGAGGTGGTGCATTTGCATTCAATGTAATTCCCGATTCAGTTACAATTGGTGGAACATTTAGGGCATTTTCGAAAGAAAGTTTGATTAAACTTAAACAACGAATTCAGGAGGTACAGTTGTTAAAAACCGCCAACTTACATGCACTTTATTTTTCGTAGTTAGAAGATTGAGCAAGAATCATAGCATTACCTTCACCGTGATACGGACGTCCAGAAATCCATCTTATTTATTATGTATCAGGAAAAAAATTCCCCTACCCCCCTAAGCTAATGAGCAAGGAATGAGGAGTGGAGATTTCATACAAGTGAAGGACCTGTAAGGCCTGGTCCACACGCCATTGGGGAATGGGGGGATTAGGGGAGCCTTAGCTCTTAGAATCGAATTCTAAACTGATGTGGCACTCTGGGATGCTTCTGATCAATATAGAACAGGACGAATCAACCCAAAAAAAAGACCACCAAGATAATCACTAAGAAATTAAAATCATGATTGGTCATTCATTTTTGTTTGTTTTTTTATTTTATTTTCTATTTTATATTTTCAGTATAGCATCTCATTACAGATGAATGCAAATGACAGGTCATCACGAAACAAGCGGCTGTGTAGAGGTACAACGCGACTGTCAACTTCGACGACAAGGCACTTTACCCCTCAACCGTAAACAACAAAGAGTTGTGTCGGTACTTTGGAAATGTTGCAAGGGATATGCTGGTCAAGAAAAATATTTTAGAGATGCAACCATTGATGGGGGTAGAAGACTTCTCATTTTTTTACAAATGTGAGCCCGAGATACTTCTACAGGGTTGGAATGCAAAATGAGACTCAGGACCAGCTTGAACCGAGGCACTCTTTGTACTTCACTGTAAATGAAGATGTGCTTCCATATGGTGCTGCATTTCATGCATCGTTGGCTACAAGATACCTCCTTGAATATCAACAACCCAAGTCTACTTCATCTAAGGGAAGTTCTCGTGATGAATTGTAAGGTTAATTGATTCTCAAATTATATGTATACATAGATTTGAGACCAGAAATCACCCCGGTAGGGGGGTTAGATTTTTATTAGTCATTTTGGCAAGGCACATATGTTTTGTATTGTTATACTAGTGCATGCTCGTGCCTGACAGCACAGTGTAAATAATGTTGGTATGACATACTTTACAAAAATTAATTAAAATAAATTAATTCAAAATGATCACAATTTCATTGCAATTTAAAACTTCACACAAGTCGAAATATCAAATTACAATTTTGGCGAACTTCATAATTAAAGTTAAAATAGCAAATTTATAATATAAAAATATTGCGTATAACATAAGCAAAGATATTCATGCCAAATTAACACATGTATAAGTGAGTTAGAATTGAAAAACCTTCAATAAAAAAATGTGTCTAAATTAGTATTATAACTGAGCAACCTTTTCACTTTATCAAATTTCAAAGCTTCAAGAAATGGAGAATGAACATTTTGGTACAAAAGAGTAATCATCCTAGCTTTTAAATCATCCAATTTAGAATGAAAAAGCCAACCATCAACACGCATGGAAAAACAACACAATCCCAACTTTTCTAAAGGTAGATTAGTCACTGGCAACAAAATAACTCCAATGCCTGAATTCACTTTAAAAAATCAATTAAAAGAAATCATAACAGGAAAAATCACATCAAAATACCTTTGAGAAATAGATAAACTAATAACTAGGAATTAACAGGAATTTAACACAAATTCATATCTCGGCGTTAAGGTAAAGATTCCATGTTTAGTCTTTTTCTTTAGATATTAAGTAATGAAATCTTTTACTTTCTATGCTGCATCCCAGCCTCACTTCAAAAATTACAAAACCAAAACCAAATTTTGTATTCCTTCGCACGCGCGCACACACACACAAAAAGAAGAAGAAGAAGAAGAAGAAGAAGTATTTTGTGCACAAATTACACATCTTTTACCCTCTTTTCAACCATCACTTATGTGATTATTCATCGTGCAAGTAGTGACAATGGCAAAATTCCAAGGAGGTGGTGCATTTGCATTCTCCATACTCTAAGCTAGAATAGATGCAAAAAAATAAAATCAATTTCAGATACTTTCTTCTGTTAGTCAGTTGTCTCCACTTAATGGAGATCTCACATCACTCCAAATAGACTCTTGAAGCCGTTTTGGGGTTAGCTTTTTGAGTGGCCTTTTCTCTTTTTTGACTTTTTTTTGTAGAATCTAAAAACACATGCATTTGGGAATTTGAGTAGCTTCTTGGTTTTTTTGTGAGTAAAAAAGTTTGAGTGTTTTTTTACTTTTTTAGCTAATGACAAACTGGTTTTCTGACTTTTTTGACTTTTTACCTTTTATATTTAGCTAAAAAGCTGACTTTTTTAGAACATCCCAAAGCCTTGGCAATAATTTAACAATTAATAAAATTATAAAACTATATGGTAGTAACAAACTAGACAAAGAAAATACCAAAAATTTCAAAGTACATGAAACTGTTTTGGTGTCCTTGGACTTCGTAAAAAGATCAAATCTGACGCTTAGAAAATATCCACTCCCTAAACATATTCAAGTCTGTAACACAGCCCCCACTCCTCCCACAGCAACCCAAGACAAGAAATGGCCTATGTAAATCGAAATAACGATTGCAAGAATTGCAATTAAGTAAATAATGCAAGACTAACAATCAGATTTCTCCATACCACAGTAGAAAATAAAATAAAATTTTCTTTAAGTCTTACCAGTTCATGTAGGTTCCAATTAGTCCACGTTCATAGATGATACCGAGTGTATTGTTTTTTGCATCAGTAGGAACCACAGTCATAACCCAAACAGGATAGTTAACAAGTGCAGCAGCAAAACCTCCAATGCCAGCATTCATGTCCATTATATTTCTGTATTGTCCAGCAAACAGAGGTTTGAGAACACTCCCATAGTATGAAACTCTTCTTTTCCACAACTGATTATCCTCATTAAAAGCCTTGACAGTCATTCCTACAGCTACTGCATTTCTAATTCTAGGTGGAGCAATGTTCAATCGTTTAGGCCATTTCTCGAGAGCACCTCCGGATACATCATGTACGTCTGCGACCTTTGGGAGAGGAGTGATACAAGTATCCATCTTTTTGTACCTAAAAAAAGCAACAATAATTACTTTTAAAGAAAGAAATTTCTTTGCATAGTTCATCACATATAGTACCACCAATGAAACTGTGTAATTAAAGTGCCTTAAAATTTAACTAACATCATCTTTGGACACTTAAAATGAGAAAAGTCCTAATTTTTTTTTTAACCTCACAACAATGCTTTTAACCTCGTTTAGTTTTATGTCTGAATTTAATTTCCTTCACTATGTTTCTCAGTACCAAATGTGCTATTAAGAGCTGTTCAACAAAATTTAAGAAAATGATAGATTTCTTAGTCGAAACTCTGAAGATCCTTAACTGAACACTCAAATTAAAAATTCTTCATTTTATCTTCTCACCTCCTTTAGACCAAAGAAACAAAAAGTTAGGAAGGATAGAGAAATCTTAGGACATTAATCTTCTAAGGGGTTCAGCTCATCAGTGATATTTGGCACCAGGAACACCACATGTCAATGCTAGAAAAAGTCTAGAAACATAGAAACCAATCACAGAACAGAACACAACTCTCTCACTTTTGGGTGCTCTCTTGATACAAGGGCAAATATCCTGGGCTACATAGGCTACATAGGCTAAATGTGCAAATATTATGAATAAACTCACCAACCAGCATCTGCATCATCTTCAGCACAGAATTTTGGAGCTTTCCAAGTCTTCAACTTTTGAGCGCAATGAACATGATTAGTAGGTTTTTGCCATACTGCAATTAGTCCAGTCTCTCTAATCTTTTTCCAGCACAATCGCCTAGCAAGATCCTCCAAACTCTTCTGCTCATTTTCAAGATCCTGTGGTGTTCTCTCCCAACCCTTATATTTAACCCTCCAATTTATAGGTGGCCCAGATAATACCCAATAACCACCAGGGGGCAAAACACAGTCAATTTCTAACAAGAATAGTCCATCTAGCATTTCAGTTGAGAAAATAATCAGATTGTACCACCTTAATACATTTATTAACAGAGTAGACATTTGGAAACCACGAGTATGAAATCATTCATCCTTTTCGTGTGATATTTGTGAGTATAATTTTTCATAGTTTCTAAAAAGTGAGCCAACATTTCTTTCTTCTTCTTCTTCTTCATTTTTTTTAATGCTTTTAGTGAAAATGGCTTAGGTGAACCAACATTACAGCACATCAAGGATGATCTTCACGATTTCAATAAATAAGAAACATGTCCAAGTTATTTAATTTTTAATAATGCTTTAAAGATAAGGGATAAAAAAAATGCTAGTAAATTTTTTTTTTTTTTGAACATTTAATTTAAATGAGTTCATTTTGTGGTAGTAACCAAATGTGCCCCATAAAAAATATACAAATCAAGTATAAGTACCATAAGCAGTCCATGGTATAATGCATCTTGAACAATGAGCCATATCAAAAGATCTTGATGGGTATGGCAACCTGTGGATACTAAGTATACCAAGCATGGCTGGAAGTCCTCTTTCCAGGGCAAATTGTACTTGAGCTTCATGTTTATCTCTCGGTGCAACAGACATTGTCAAAATGTTGTAGTCCATTAAAGCAGCTCCAAAGCTTGCAACCTGAGAATAATGAGATCACCCAAAATTACTAACACAACGTTAGAGAAAAGTTACTAACACACCCAAGTGTACAACTGAAGCAGTTATGATCAAATCAATAAATGCATAAGATTGCTAATGCAAAATTTCACTCTCTAATTTATACATATATATTATATAGAAATTCCTGGTTCCTAATACTGCAATTCTTAGTTTAAAGCTCTAACCTTGTTATCATTAAAGTAAGAAGAGAACTAGATTCGAACAAAACAACCAGCATTCACAACAAAACTAGAAGATTAGAACCTATGTTACTGAGAGGGAGTTTTTATGTGCATTAGGGCCGAGCTAGGCCAAGGCGTGGTAATGGGCTGTTCTATGGGCCGAGGTAAAAAGGGCTGAGTGTAGAGGGCCTTGTAGTTAGCTCGGTCCGAATATGGTACGGGCACCATGGTTAGAGCGGTGATAATTAGCTCGGTCATAACATTCGGAGCCGAAATATTTTGGGCTTTCTTATGGTGGACCTTGCTCTCGTTAGCTCGGTCAAAGCTTACTGCGGTTAGCTCGGTCTCGATAGACCAATCTGAGGTGCAAGTGTGAAGAGAACCAAGCTACGCCATATAGTTAGAAAGGCGCTGGACTAAGTATGACAAAAGGCTAGTGATAGCTCGGTCATACTGTCATCCAACCGTAGTAAAACCATTTCACTTGGTTTTAGCAGTGAGGGGGGTGTTGAAGGATAAGCATTATCTTTTAGGAGTGGAATTCCTAGGAGGACTCTACAGGGAGAAATAAGAGTCCTACTAGGATTGTGCCACACGGAAACTATAAAAGCTCACAACATAACCTATGTACAGGTAACACAACTTTGACTCTTGAACACACAGAGCTTTTGTCTATTTGGCTATTTTACTGACTTAGGCATCAGAGAGGTATCCGACACACACCTGCCGGCTAGCTCAAATTTGTGTTTTCAGGGGGTAAAGCGACAACGTTTGGAAGAGTGCAGACTTGATCAATAGGATTATACGAGGAGATTATTTCGCGCTCGTACAATTGGCGGCGTCTGTGGGAAAAACACAAAGAACAAAACCTTTTGTTCGAGTTTTCCTCTTTAATTGAAACCAATGGCGTACAATGAAGACTTGCCGTAATCTGCTCTTGATAGAAAAACCTCGGAGGGGGGTGGGAGGTGCGAAGGTTTGCCTGCTACCCCTTCCATGGCGAATTTAGAACCCCAGTGACAAAACCCCTGGAGGGATACAAGAGGGAGGCGGGCTAACAACCCCCGTTGCTCTCAAAGTCTTGAAAGACAGAGGCGGAGGATGAACCCTCAAATGCTAGAGGATCACGTGAAGGAGCAGGACGAGTTAATAAGGAGGATGGCGGCAGACATGGAGTCAATGAAGTGCCAGATAAAAGGAAAATGGGTGGCGACAGGACAGGGGCGCAAAGGCAACACGCCCCCTCGCCACTCGGAGGATCGTGATAGGCGTACCACACCATCGCAAGCAGAAAGTAGGAGCCTTAGAACAGGCGACACTTAATCGAGGACTTCCAGGACTCGTTACTCCAGGTCTGAGAGAATGAGAACTGAGAGGTTATATATTGAGGGAAGCACCTATTGGCCCTCGCACATGCACCAGACGTCATCTAGGCACACGGAATTTCCTAGATCATTTGACTTACAAACCGTGCTTAAAGAAAGGGCATGATTGAAGGTGGATACCAGGGCACGTGACCCATGCAGAGTTTCAGCCCTTCAGCGGTTAGCCCCTCGGACGCATGGGAGCGTCGAGGTAGGAATGCCAATGTCGCGCCTTGCTTACGAACCAACAGACAAAGCATTAGCAAGGCCACAGAGCTCGCCGTTCATTCCGAAAATAGAGAACGCACCACTACCTTCAAGCTTCCACCAGCCCAAATTCACCACTTACGAGGGGAAGACAGACCCCTACATGCACTTGAGTCACTTTCGCCAGGTTATGGCAGTATACCGACGAAACGAGGCTTTAATGTGCATCCTATTCCATCCAGCCTTGGCGACCTAGGTTTAACCTGGCTCGAAAGGCTACCAGAGGGCAGCATTGCCTCATGGGCGCAGTTGGCAGAAGCGGTCGTGACTAGATTTAGGACGAACACCAAGTCGCCAGTGGAGATCGACCAGCTACTCTCCATTGACATGGGCGAAAAAGAGACGTTGAGGTCCTACAACAATCGCTACTGGGAAACATTCAACCAGATTGGAGACTGCCCCACCAATCTAGCCATTGCGCAATATAAAAGAGGCCTTCCAGTCGGAAACAGACTAAGGGACTCGATCACCATGACGCCACCCCTTACCATGGAAGCCCTGATGGAGAGAGTGCATCAGCACATCAGGGTAGAAGAGGATGGCGCACGTGCCAAAGCAAAATCTAGTGCAACCACCAGACAAGAAGACTACGGTGAAGGTCAATGCGGTAGAACGTCCAAGCAAGAATGGATGAGACAGGCGAGACAACGAAGAGAACGAGATAAAAGATGGTTGAGAGTCCGCACTGCCATTACCACGGTGTTCAAAAAACCAATCTACCAAATTCTCAATGAGATACGCAACGAACCTTTCGTCCGATGGCCAGCCAAGTTGGGAGAAGCACAAAAAGACTATGATACGCAACGAACCTTTCGTCCGATGGCCAGCCAAGTTGGGAGAAGCACAAAAAGACTATGACGAAAGGTCCCGGTGCACCTTCCATGATGAAAAATGCACTAAAAATTGTACGCCGTTGAGGCAGCATTTGGAGGAGTTAGTGGCGGTTGGGCACCTGGACCAGTATATAGAAGGAGGAACACAGCCAGCCCCCCTGAACCAGAACATCCTAAATGGGATGCCGGTCGACACTCCACCTCAAGGTGTAATTAACGTAATACATGGAGTATTCGAACCTGAGCGGGTATGTGAGCTCAGGGGAATGCTCAAAAAGGCTGAGCACTTAAGGGAGGTATTAAGTGCACAACCTGCCATCAAAAAGGGGAGAATAGAGGCCACAAATGTCATATCTTTTTCAGACAAAGATTTAGCAAGGATATATTGCCCTTACAATGATGCATTGGTTGTCACTCTACGTGTCAAGAATTTTGACATCAAACGGATTTTGATCGACCAAGGAAGCTCATGTGAGATAATGTATTACGAAACCTTCAAACAACTAAGACTAAAGGATAAAGACTTGGCACCTGCAACATCCCCCCGATCGGATTCAACTCAATGCCAGAGTGGCCAGTTGGCAAAATAATCCTCCCAGTCAAAGCAGGAACCATGACAAAACAGGTGGAGTTCTAGGTATTGAAAGTCCCTTCCACCTACAACATAATCTTGGGGAGGACATGGTTCCATGCCATGTGATCAGTAGCGTCAACCTACCATCAAGTATTGCGGTTCCCCAACGAAGCCGGAGTGATAGAAGAGGTCTTTGGAGACCAAATTATGTCAAAACAGTGCTTCGTCACAGTAAATGGCAGCCGCGCTGCCAAAGGCTATGTACAGATGGTGGAAGAACCTGAAAGCAATGAACTGTTTGCGAACGTTGGCAAGGCAGCTAAACAAAAGGAAGTAGAAGACTTGGTACAGGTAAGGATAGATGAAAAAGACCCAGAAAAGTTCTTTTTGCTCGGCTCGTCTTTGTCCAGCACTGAGAGAATAGAGGTCATGGAATTATTAACCTCTAACATCGAAGTATTTGCTTGGACACCGTATGACATGCCTGGCTTTGACCCAAACTTCATCTGTCACCAACTGAACGTCCACCCAATTGTCCGACCAGTTATACAGCGCACTCGCAGATCAGCACTCCACCATGTTGAGATATTGGTGGAAGAAATGGGAAACTTACTGGAGGCAGGAACTATTAGAGAAGTGCACTACCCCAGGTCGATCTCCAATACCGTAGTAGTGCCAAAGAAGAACGGAAAATGGCGTATCTGCGTGGACTACAAAACAGTCAACAAGGCATGCCCAAAGGATAGCTTTCCCCTACCACGGATAGACCAACTGGTAGACCTGACGGCAGGATACAATCGACTTAGCTTCCTCGATGCGTATAGAGGTTACTATCAGATCGCTATATATGAACCAGACCAGGAGGTCACATCCTTTACAATGCCAAGAGGATTGTATTGTTACAAGGTCATGCCCTTTGGCCTAAAGAATACAGGGGCAACATTCCAACGGATGGTCACCAAGATGTTTGAGCCATTGTTAGGCAGAACAATGGAGGCTTACATAGATGACATGGTGGTCAAGAGCAAGGATGAGAAGGACCATCTTAGGGACCTAGGTGAGATGTTCCAGATTCTGAAGAAGAACAAGTTGCGCCTAAATGCATCCAAGTGTGCATTCGGCGTAGGATCAGGCAAATTCCTAGGCTTTCTGGTGACCAACCGAGGTATAGAAGCAGACCCCTCTCAGATCAAAGCAATCCAGGATCTTGAGAGGCCCAACACAGTCAAAGAGGTGCAGCACCTCACTGGCCTAGCAGTCGCGCTTAACCGGTTCATAAGTCGGTCGTCAGACAGATGTCGGCCATTCTTCCAAGCACTAAAGGCCAAGTTTGAGTGGGATGAAGAATGCGACCGCGCCCTAGAAAGTTTGAAAAGAGTACATGTCTTCTCCATCGTTGCTAGTAACCCCAGTACCTGGAGAAGAGCTCTTTCTGTACCTAGCAGTTTCACAGCACGTAGTCAGCGCAGTGTTGGTCAAAGCGGAAGGAATCCAACACCTGCCCATCTTTTATGTAAGCAAAACCTTGTTGGGCGCAAAAACCAGGTACCTACCATTGGAAAAACTGGCCTTAGCCTTGATGATGGCCTCAAGGAAGCTTTCGCATTACTTCCACGCCCACACCATAATCGTCCTAATAGCTTTTCCATTAAAAGCTTTGTTCGAGAGGGCGAACTTCTCTGGGCGAATCTTTAAGTGGGCAGTGGAATTAGGACAGTTTGATATCAAGTTTCAACCTAGAACCACAACAAAAGCCCAA